CAAAGTTTTTAACTTTAATAATTTATTTTAATTAAATTTTACAATATTTTTAAATTTCAATATAATATCAGATGGAAACATTTTGAGACTTCTATATATTTCTTGTTTTTCATTCTTTCTTCTTGATCTTCCATTCCTTGTCCATCCTTCAATCATACTTTGGCTAATTTTGAAAATAAAAATAAATGAATTTTTTGGATGTTTTCTGCAGCTAGCCAAATTGCGAAGGCAGAACTATTATAAACACATCTTTAAAGCCACTTACCGTTTTCATAAAATAAACTCTAGCAGACATAGTATATGGCTTTTAAAATCGATTATCTTTCGCCACATTTGTATATAGTTGATTTTTCATAATATGTTTTAATTGTTATGATCTGAGAGTTACTTATAAAAACATTTATTCCTGTTTCGAGAATTTTTGGTAATGAAGACGACATTTTCCCATTTTCCAGGAATGTTCGAAAACAAGTTGTAAGCTAAATATTATTTAAAAAAAAAAAAAAAAATCAAAACTAGTATCAAATATCAAATATATACCAAATATATACAATTGTGGCGAAAGATAATCGATGACAATAGGTTGTAATATCTGAATGATTTGTTTGATATTAATTTGATTTTTTTTACGGTCTAAGTCGTATGTTCCAACTTCCTCAATTTGTATGGGCGCTAAGTTATTCGGTATGAGACGTCTTTATCAATTTTCTCCTTATAGACGCAACAGATAGAAGTAAGATTAGTAGCGAACAAAAGCGCTTTTTTATCGCATTAAGCCTATACCCCCTTTCATTTTTCGCGAACACTCCCTTTAATGTGATATCAATGTACTGTATTTATACTTTATATATAACTGAGCATTTGATCTCAAAGTTGTATTATAAATATATGTAAAGTGTGACGGCTGAGATTTGATATAGGATGATTACGAACTCAGTATAGGTTGGGTTGCCCTAGAGTAAAGATGTGGCTTCAATCTGTAAAACTAGTTTAGTTTAGTGCTAAGAGAGATATACAGATATATAAAAACATTGCTAAAAGTTATTTACAATATATATATACATACATACATACTTTTGTTTAACTGTAAATTGGAAATACTGATTATAATAACAATAATGGCATACACTTATAAAAACAAATTAATAAACTTTTTAATTCTACAATTAATTATCCTGCACTGAACTGAATCTTATTTTTCATAATTGATTTATCATCAGAAATATTTTAGATACTTGCAAATCATTTAAAATGTCTAAATCTTTACAGATTTTGAATTTCTATGGCTGAGCAGCCTAGAGAAGAAAGAAAAAATGTATCAGAAGATGAAACACCATCAAGTGAAAACATTACATGTATGAGTAGAGCTATTAATAGTATGAACGGAGCAAGTAGAGATGGTACAAGTATGGGTGGAGATGGTACTAGTATGGGTGGAGATGGTACTAGTATGGGTGGAGAAGGTACTAGTATGGGTGGAGATGGTAGTAGTATGGGTGGAGATGGTACTAGTATGGGTGGAGACGGTACTAGCATGGGTGGAGATGGTATTAGTATGGATGGAGAAGTTACTAGTATGGATGGAGAAGAAACTAGTATGGGTAAAGAAGGTACTAATATTGGTGGAGAAGATACTAGTATGGGTGAAGAAGGTACTAGTATGGATGGAGAAGATACTAGTATCGGTAGAGATGGTACTAGTATGGGTGGAGATGGCACTAGTATGGATGGAGAAGGTCCTAGTATTGGTGGAGATGGTACTAGTATGGGTGGAGAAGGTACTGGTACTGGTGGAGAAGACACTTGTATTGGTGGAGAAGGAACGAGTGTGGGTGGAGAAGGTACTAGTATGGATGGAGAAGGTACCAGTATCTGTGCTGTATGCAAAGAGGCCATTGATAAACCTAGAGTTCATTATGGCGGAGTCTGCTGCTATAGCTGTAGAGCATTTTTCAGGTCATTTTATAATACATCCTTTATTTTCTATTTTTCTCTTTTGGGTGTTTGCTTCCAAACAAACATCTTTTACATGAGAAGTATCTACAATTATTAAGTTAAACATTGCTGGATTACATTCAATGTTCAGAACATCTGTATCATTTAATACTTTTTTGAGACACCAAATCATGATTATTGAAAATTCATAATGTTCATCTTGAAAGAACTAGATGTTCAGATTTCACATTCTAAAATTTTACAACTTGACCTACAATTGTTAAATTAAAACTCACTGTTTTATAGACGAGCCACAAAGCGTGGAATGGATACTTACTGTGTGCTTGGAGGCAACTGTAATATTAAACTTGAAGAGAGAAAACAGTGTAATGCTTGCAGGTAATTATTTATGCAATTAAATTGTATCTACAACTTTTAATGATTATAGGGACGGTAAAAATTTAAAATATTCTTTAAATTTTTCTTACCCCTTTTTTGCATTTTTTTCAACCCTACCTTGCACATATTATTTCAATATTTTTAATAATTAAAATTCCGCTTCTTCTTAGAATTTGCTAAAAATCATTTTCTTTAATTATAGCTTTGAATTAAAGCATTCATCAAATACAAGCTTTTTCTTTAGATAAATGGGGAAAAGTCAGTTATCCTTTTTCAGTCAAAGGTTGCAAGGTTGCATTGTAAACTGACTTGAAGTTAATATGTACTTATCATTAAGTAGTTTTTAAGAAAATATCTGGAAGTTTTAGTTCCCCCCAACTGTTTAACTTCATGTAAGATTACATCCATTAAAGTTGCATGTAATTTTTTTTGTTCAAAAACGATTGTTTTTCAAAAACAACCGTTTTTATAAAGTTTGTTGTTTTTTTTAATGATCTTTAATGACAAACCTTTGTTAACGATGTTATCTATGACCCTTTGTTAACGATCGTAAACATAATTGTCAATATTTTTTTTTCAAAAACTATCTTTTTTTTAAAACAATGGTATAAAAAACGGTTGCAAATCGTTTTTATAATAACGATCGTTTTTTAAAACTTTTCCAAATCGTTGATTAAATATATTTAATTAACATAATTTATCCTTTAATCCCTTGTCATGTTAAATTAAAAGATTTGTTTGATCAAGTATCAGTGCGGATTCTCTACAATAATGGTGCAATTCTCCCATATATAAATAAATAAACAGCTTATGTACGCAAAATCACCAAGAATTGTACAGTCCACCTTATCATACTTCTAGGGGTCAAAGTGTACTTCAATGATAAGCGGGGTGGTTTGGTGTTTTAATGGATTTCATAATTATCAAACCACTCAGGAGTGAATTTTATTTTGAGAATATTAAATTATTTCACTGAGCAATATATCACATTGACGAGAACTGAAGAGGGACATTAGAAGGACTAAACTAACTAAAATTTCTTTTTACAGAACTCAAATACATCACAAGTACTCAATGACATAAGAACAGCCAATGTTCACAACCGACCTAGTTAATCTATATAATAGGCACACCTCCCCGGAAGCGATTTTGACCTCGTTGTTACGACCACCTCTAAAATTTATTTTATAAGTTGAATGAAACGCATGGGAATACAAATCTGTTTTTATCAAAATATTTCATCGGGCCCATTGGATTTTACGGCCAAAATAGCATTGGATCTAAATTAAGAAAATTTTAAGGAAGCCCACGAATTAGAAAAAAAACTTCTTGAATCTATTTTTGTTTATATTGTGTTTTTGAAACCCAATTTTACAGTTTTGAAGGAAAAGAAGAAATAAATTGATAAAAATTTATGCCTTGAGTTACCAATTAATGCTGGATTTTTGACTTCATAAAAGTCCAGGATATTTTAGCACGATACCAGCTTATGTAAATATCAAGCAAATA